ACCTCCAGGCCCACAAGTGCATTCTGTTCTGTTTTGACGAATCTGTAGAGTGTCAATGGTAAACTGGTTGGCTGCCAGCCAAATCACACAGCTTGCCTTGCTAATAATCTTCTTCTTCCTTGCCTCCTAGCAGAATATATACTTTAGCTTTGGCTAGATGCTTTTATGTTACATGTAGGGCCACTGGAAATGAAACTGCTTAATTTCTTCCTCCTGTATATATCCTTATCTTGGCCTGTTTGTGTGTTCTTGTTCGGCTGTTAGTTATGTGTGGCATTGCTATATTACTCTGCTGTATTAGCATGACCATTGTGTAGGCTGATCTCATGGGCACTGGGAGTGTGATATAATGCCACACACCAGATACTAGTTGTTTGTTCTTTTCCCTAGCAATGTGCCAAAGACGCTGTAAAAATGCAGTTTAAAAAGTTAAACAACAAACAGGACTTGAAACCATTGTCTGTTTCTTTTTAATTAACCAGGGTTTGCCCAGTCTGAATATAAAAGTATGGATTATTTATGGAAATCATGTTTTTTTTTAAAAAAATGTAGGCTTTCTGTCTTATTTTGTTTCATATAAAAAAGGAGGTTCAAGAGGAACATGTAACACATGTTCATTTAAGATCACTTATCCATGTGTTGTGTGATGCCTGAATGCTGTCACCAGATGTTCCCATTCCAGCACCTACAGTGTTATATTCTAAATGCTGGAAATAATAATATGATACAACTAATCAGCAAGTAACAATTTTCAAGATTACACAGTCAAAAGCAACAATTTATATCTGTATCAGTGGAGGAGAACAAATCCTGAATATGTTTATCGAAATCATATATACAGTGTGACACCTGTATCCATGGTTTCAGTTATCTGCAGTTTACCTTAGCCCTATATATAGCACAAATGGGATGGGCCTTGTGGCCTTGGTCACGTCCCTTGTGGCCTTTGTAATGACTCCATATATGTTGAATATAGCAGGGGTCGCCAACTTCCGGTCAGCGACCCGGCAGTGGCATATGCGGCCTAGGCAGGATCAGGCTGTGGACACAGATTTCCTGCCCCCTGCAAGCGCCACCACACACATGCGAGCGAGGACCCCTGCGAGTGCTGCTGAGTGCATGTGTATGAGCACACTCCACCGCCTGTGGATGCGCCACACCCCTGTGAGTGTGCCACCCCCCCATGTGAGTGTGCCACACCCTCCAACAAGTCCACGGTTGGGAAAAGATTGGAGACCACTGGTAGATCATGGAATGGTACTTTGCGACAGTTTCCTGATTTTTATAACAAGGCATTACGGGTTATTAAATAAAAGTCAAATTAATATTTGTATGATTGCTGTTACATATTCCAATTTAAAATTGAACCTGTATTTAAAAGTTTGTTTAAGGTTTAGGGGAATTGACAGGACCATTAAATGCATGCAAATCAAATCAGTCACAAGTAACTTTGTCTAGGAAATACCTTGTAGAAAGATCACATCACATCTCATGATAAGGAGATGATGTGCAAAACGTCATGGAACATACTTCTGCTTCTTTGGATCCTTTCTAAATATAAAAAACTCAAAACTAATGTTGCTCTACTTCAGGAAACTAATAATTTGGCGGAAATTATGTATATACTTATGGGCAAAGGAACTTTCTGCAAATACAGTTTCTAAGAATTATTTTACATAAATTCTTACACGTAAGTTTGCTTCACTTCCAGTGATGCTACAGCATCATACAGCAGCACTTCATTTCAATTGTTAAAATTTTGGATGTGCTGATTGCTGTAGTGAACCTTTATGGGATGAATTTGGATCCCCTCATTTCACGATTTTTTAAGCCACTTGGCTACCATGATTAAAATGTGTTAATTGGTAAACATTTAATTTTAAATTTTGTTCTATCCAGTTTTGAACAGGAGCACACCCACTTGCAATTTCCACTGTTAAGTTTGTTCAACGATAAAGCCTTGTGTGTTTGAATGGTCAGTCTCCTTAACATAGGGATGGCGGTCCCTGCAAAAGGGAGGCAAACGCCTGATCAGACTGAATGGGGGACTTTAAAGCTGCTTGATAAGTATCTCTATCTGTTTGGCCACAAAAAAAAAATCTATTAAGTTCTTTAGTGCCATCTTCCTGTGAATGAATGTTGGAAGCATATAATATATTGCATCTACGTGCTTTGATTCATCAGTGTGCCAGTCTTAACATTTGTACTGCCTTGACATGCGTTTAGAGAGAGAGAAATTGCTGTGGAGTGTATTAAAGGAAGGAAGTAACTGTTACAGGAAGTAACAGTTGCTAGTAATCATGCTCTAATCTTTTGGATGTCATACTAAATTGTGGTTTACTGCTATGCGAATGAACCTTGGGCTGATCCAGTCCCTTCTCCCCCCTTCTACTCCATTACAGATGGAAAAAAAATCATTTGTTTGCATTTTCAGATAAGTGTAGCTAATCATTATTTCCAAACCACATCAAATTGTCACTAGGTTTAACTACAACTTGTCTGAAAAATCAGTTTCGAATCCATGGTTTGCAACCCTTGCATTGTCAGATAACCCTTAGTTAAAACTAAATTCAACATCAACATTCAATATATGTGGAAGTTGAGTCATGGCAGCTGGACTTTCTTGTTAGGTTGAAACATTTTGCTGCTCATCCAGGTAGCTTCTTCAGTTTGAGGAGAGTTGGTAGGAGATCCCTGATATAACCTCCACCGTTGGTTTCACTTGCCCCTGGTCTGAACAGGCTGATTAGATGGCCAAAGGACTGGGGGTGAGGGATAATCCCACTTCTGCAATCCTTCTCCTCCCATTGTCATGGGTTGTTAACAGTTGTTAACAGTGGTCTTTCTAGTGTGTGTATGGTTCTAATCTTTCTGGGGACGGATGAAAGGGCAGCAAGGGCAGCATGATAAATAGGAGGCAGATTGTATTTAAGGCCTCCACCCCTGTGGAGTGAGGAATTTTCTATATGCACATGTATGGCTCCCTGACCCCTCTCTCAAACCATCTATATTCCAGGTCTAAAATGAGTACATCTTGGTTACCAAATGAGTGTCCTCTGTCTTTCAAATGAAGGAACACTGGTGATTGTGGTCCTGAGCCGTTGCCCCTCCTGTGCTGGGCCATTCTCCTGTTTAGTGGCTGTTTGGTTTCTCCAACGTAGAGCTCCGAAGACTCCTCTTTGCATTGGTCCACATATATTATACTGCTCCTGTTGTGTTTTGATGTCTAGTCTTTTGGGTGGATGAGTCTCTGCCTTGTGGGTTTGAAGTGTACATAGTCTTTTGGGTGGACGAGTCTCTGCCTTGTGGGTTTGAACTGTACGTGGTATGTGGTGATTACCAAAAGTCCTTTTAAACTTTTCAGACACACCTCCCCTGGATGACTGAGAATCTTCACAGATCTATGGTTATACTTCTAGTACTGCTGCCACATCAAGGAGGAGAGGGGAAATAGTAGGATTGTGCATATTTGATTGTGTATCCTAATCAAATCCCAAATTTCCTTTCAGGTTATGATCAATTAGTTATACGATGCTTTAGATTGTTCAAAGCATTATTTCAATAATATAGTATTTAAAATAGCACTGGAAGATGAGTCAGTGTTATTGCATACATATTGCTGAGGGGCTGCTGAGGCCACATTCCCCCACCCATCCAGCAGAGGGGAGAACAACATGCACCTGGCAAAATGGGTTGAGTGGGGAGATGTGTAGAGAGTAGAGAAAAGCGCATCCGTGTCCATCCATTGTTTCCCAAGAAACTCAGGTGGCACTTTGGAAAAAAAGGTGTGGGTGACAACAAATCACATCCCTCACCCCACCCGCTCTGGCAGCCAGCACTGTCTGAAGGTACAGATAATACAGAAGTCATTCAGCTTTTTGTAGCTAAGTGTTGTTGTACAAGGGCAATGAAACGTTGGCAGATGTCCAATATTGCCTGAGCCAGCAATCCTATCTATCAGTGAGGAATGTTAGGTGAAAGCTTATCGGTAATAGCAGAATAAAAGTTATGTAGTCTGGCTGTCCATCAGTCCATTGAAGTGTCTTTGTGGCTTTCATTTTCCAAGGGCAGAACAATGTTTGCCTCTGCAAAAGTCATATTTCCTGAAGAAAGGAGCAGTGCCATCTCTAGGCCAGGAAGACCTGAACATACACACTCACACTATGAAAACCTATTGTTAAGAGGGCTAGAAATAATAGAGTGGTAGAGAACTCCACCTAGTGGGACAAAACTGCCATGCATTGGTTCATTGCAAATCCATTTAGATGTCCCTGAACACGATGTCTTTTTTTCACCATCTCAAGAAGACGCAGACAGCAAGTTAATACACCATGCGACTTAACTCACGGCAAAAAAATTCCTATGCATATTGTGGGGTTAATCAGTAATGTAGGTAAGTCCTAAGATATGACTTTCCTAAGGCCAACTACTGAGTTGATAGCATAAGCAGGAATTGAGTTTGGGGCCTTCTTTATTCAGAACTCATCCCCTCACTATTGACTGATTCTCAAATAATGTAAAACAGAGGTAGGTAAAGCATGGCTCTCTAAATGGTATTGGACTGCACATCCCAGCATTCCATACCATTAGCTACATCATCTAAAGATAATGGGAATTGCAGTTCAACAGTTTGCCCACTTTCATCTAAAGATAATGGGAATTGCAGTTCAACATCTGGTCCACAGTTTGCCCACTTTCGATAAACAAGACACTAACCACACTCCATTAATTACACATATTCTTTTCCCTTTCTTTGATTAGCATTGAGCGCTTGCAGAAAAAGGTACATACACAGAAACCTGAAGTCAAGTCATAACTGCAAGGATCTGATTTTCAACATGGAAAAGTAGACTGCCTAAAGGTTTTACTGAGTGTGGCTGGTGTAACTCCTGCTCATTTGGAAAGTCCATATTCCCCCTAACACTGAGCAATTCTGATCTGCATTTAAGGGGCTGTTGCATTCTCCGTCTGACTGGTAATCCTGTCTCTGCTTTAAACAGGAGGAGCAGCCCTTGCCTTTGCTGGTGGAGAGCCGGAGACCTCTTGGACGCATCCTGTACTTGTCTATAAGCTTGACGTTGATGCTCCTTGGCCTGGTTTTGACAACAGCGTACATCTACAGATACTTCTCCATTACTGGTTCCATTACTGACTTAAATGTGGTATGTATGATGCATAAAAGAGAGATATAACTGTAATTTTATTGGTTTTTTGTTAGCTTTTTCACTGTCCTCTATCCTTGTCCTGTTTGTTTACTGTAATATTGTAAGATAGCTGTTTGTTATATCTAAGTTAGGATCTTTCCTTTACAGGTAAAGATCTCTGCTCTTCACTTTTGTCTGAATTATTGTTTGTCCCATTTTCCCATCTGTCTTGCTTTGTCTCCTTTTCAGTTGTGTTGTCTTACAACTGTCTGGTTACAAAACATAAGCAGGCTAATTTGCTAAATGTGATTGAGGCCAACTGCCAATAGGATAAATAGCCCAGTTTTTCCTCTGCTTCTAATAATGTGATAACTATGTTGTCTAGCTTGGCCTTTCGTTCAGCATTCTTTCTCCCATAGTGGTCAGCAGGGTGTTTCTTCAAGGTCACCGTCCTAAGGTGAGAAGCTATAACTCAGTGGTAAAGCATGTAAGTATTTTGAACAGGCCCTGAGTTCAAATACCATCACTCCTAGCTAGAAACATCAGATAGCAAAAGGTGAGAAAGATGATGACGATGGCGATGATGGCGATGACGACGATGACAACGATTATTATTATTATTATTATT